CATCCTGTGCTCGAGCATCAATGTGTGGCATGGAGGCTGCACAGCTGCAGAAAGAAAAGCTTTGCAGAGAGTGGTGAAGGCTGCACAGAAATCTGTTGGAATCAGCCTCCCCACCATCACAGACATCTACACCTCCAGATGCAGGAAGAGGGCCACCTGCATCATGAAGGACCCCACCCACCCAGCACACACACTTTTTGCCCCACTCCCCTCAGGAAGGAGGTTAAGGAGCATTAAGTGTAGAACCACTAGACTGAGGAACAGCTTCTACCCTGAGGCTGTTAGACTCATGAATCTCTAACTAGAATAATCACTGTGAAAAACCATATCATGTTGCTGCTGATCTGTTTCATGTTGCTGCTGATCTGTTTCATGTTGCTGCTGATCTGTTTCAATGTTGATGTGTTCATGCGTGCACATCTGCTCAAAGACTCATGTTCATGTTTGTGCTGATGTTCAATGTTTTATGTTATGAGTGCTTAGTGTATATTTAGTTGATGTTTTTCTTAGTTCATATCTTAGATGTTATTACTGTTTTTGTTATACATTTTATTGTTGGATGTAACTGGGACCCCGTGTACATAATTTCGCTCCACCACATGTACCACAAGAGGTGCAAATGACAATAAAGAAACTCTGACTCTGACTCTCTGACTCTGAGAAATTGCATTTTCTGCGAAAATGCAGTGTGAATGCTTATTGCTAATGAACTTGCTGAAAAACAGCTGAAATTAGCTAAAACTTGCTCAAATGTAGCTGAAAAGGAACAACTAGCCTAAGTTAGCAGAAGAAAGCAAAAATAACATATTTTTGCTTAATTTGGTTTACGCAGAAATTAGCACAAAAAATAGTACATTATCTCTAAAAGCTGAAATTAGCAAAAATAGCTGAAAGATAGCTGAAAAGGTAGAAAAAAGCTTAAATTACCAGAAGTGGAGAGAGCACAATTGTGCCCAATTAGGCTGAAAGAAACAGAAATTAGCACAAAAAAAGTGGTAATTACCCGAGGAAAGCCGAAATTAGAAAAAAAAAAAAAAAAGAAACAGCTGAAAAGTAGCGAAAATAGCAGAAAGAAGCTATTAGCAGAAGTACGTGGAGGAAGCACTGAATTTGGCTGAAAAAAGCGTTTTGAGTGCAAAATCTGTGAAATTAGCTGAAAAAGCAAAAATTAGCATGAAACAGCTGAATGGTAGCTGAAATAACTGAAACTAAGCTGAAAGGAACATAAGCTGAAATTTGGAGAAAGAAGTGAATTAGGCTGAAATTAGCAGAAAATACCACAAAAAAATCTTGCATTTATCTGAAAACAGCTGAAATTAGCTAAAAACTTCTAACAAGGTAGCTGAAAAGGTAGAACAAACTTCAATTAGCAGAAGAAAGTATGAAGAGCATGTATGCCCAATTCGGTTGAAAGAAGCAGAAATGAGCACAAACGTAGAAATTATCTGAAAAAAGTTGAAATTAGCAAAAACAGCTGAAGAGTAGCTACAAAAGTTGAAAGAAGCTTAAATTAGCAAAAGGAAGATGAGAGAGCACGTTTGTTGAATTAGGCTGAAAAAGTTGAAATGAGTGCAAAAAAAATCTGGAATTAGCTGAAAAAGCTAAAACATGCATAAAATCTGCTAAATAGTAGCTGAAATAGCAGAGAAAGATGAAACTTTTATTAAAAAAGTAGAAAGAAGCATAACAAGCTGAATTTAGCAGAAAGAAGTTAGAAGAAGCAAAAAAATGTTGTAGCTGGCTGAAAGAATTTGAAAGGAGCACAAAACAGGTGAAAAACAGCTTAAAGTAGCCGAAAAAATGTTTAAATTTGAAGAAGAAAGCTGAAAGTAGCCAAACCAGAACCAAATGTGAAAGGAGCAGTAAAAGGTTGTAAACAGATCTAAAGATTTGAAGGATGTAAAATGAGCTCAATTCATTTTCTATGAGAAAAAATGGCAGAAAAGGCTAAATATTTCAAAAAGCTAAAGTTGAACCAATACCAAAAGTCATAGCAGGATTGTCCTGAAAGAGCTAAATGTTTTGATTTATGATTTGTTGAAATAGCTCTAAAACTGCTGCCGAAAAGATGTAAGGAAGAAAAACGATCACAATAGTGTGAATGCTTCATAAACAGTCACACAACTAATTCAATGTCTCAACTCCTAAATGAAGTCTTGGTCATTTTTCTCCCCTCGATTTAATTCAAAGAGTGAAGTGATTTGAAGAAAAGAAATCTGCACTCAAATCCTAATCTACGATTACATAATAATTCATACATTTTAAGACTTTTGATCTTTCACATGTACAGCTGTTTGTATGATATATTGTTTATATAAATGAAGAAATCAAGTCTGCACTAATACATAATTTTCAGTTTCAGGACTTAAACAGGACAACCACCGGATGGAAACAACTTGTTTCTCTGTTGTCGCTGAGCTCCTGTTTTTGTTACTGCAGCCACAATGTTTCTGACACGCCAATCCTCTGCTCATTTGTGCTATCTAGACATGTGCCATTACAGTTTCTTTATGCAAATGCAGTCTAGTTATACAGCCAGAAATGTTAGAGCACTTTAATGGCTCAAGTACAAAAGAGGAAGAACTATCAGCACAGAAAGTAGAACATACGACAGGCTTATTGTGTGAATGTTTATTAAGCATTCACACTATTGTGGTCTATTTCTCGTTCACAGTTTTTGTGTTATTTCAACAAATCATATATCAAAATGTTGCGCTCGATCAGGACAATCCTGCTATGGCTTTTGGTATTGGTGCAACTTTAGCTTTTTGAAATATTTAGCCTTTTCTGCCATTTTTTTTCCCTCATAGAAAATGAATTGAGCTCATTTTACATCATTCAAATGTTTAGATCTGTTTACAACCTTTTACTGCTCCTTTCACATTTGGTTCTGGTTCAGCTTCTTTCAGCTCTCTTATGCTAATTTTAACAATATTTCAGCTACTTTCAGCTGTTTTTGACCTGTTTTGTGCTCATTTCAGATTCTTTAATCAGATTCAGAATAGGCTTTCTTGTTATTGCACCTAAGCACAACAAAATTACATTTCAGTATAACCCATCCAAGTAAAACACAAACAAACAGACATGGGGACAGGGCCAGATTAACACTTCGCTGTACCCTGGGCAACAATTGTCAAGGGCCCCATCATCATGACCCCAGAATCACCATAATCTGGCAAAATACAGAATAAATTACCATAATACACAGTAAATATACTTCAAATTCTAACTATCAAGTGTATTTTTATGTATAAAAATCCAAATGCTCATAGAACTATAAATGTTATGTCCTGTTGTTGAAACAAATCATCAAGACTGAGTTCAGTTGAACGCACTTTGAACATTGTATGACACCATGTGTACTTGTTTAGCAACGTGTTGGCCTTTGGTGTCAGAATCATTTGTAATATGTGTGTGTGGGGATGTGGTGGTGGTGGTGGTGGTGGGGGGGGGGGGGGTCACACACTGATAGAGGGGGGGTGGGGGGTCCTCCCCCAGAAAATTTTGAATAAAGTAGATGTCATTTCCTGCATTCTGGTGTATTTTAACGGTTGTTTATCTAGTTTTACCTACACAAGTAAACACTTGATTCAGTAACTATTTTAGAGCTAATGGCACAACAAGAAGTAGTCTGACCAACAGCGGATTCATCCATCCATTATCTTTACCCGCTTCTTCCATTTTGGGTCACGGGGTCACCGGTGCCCATGTCCAGCAATCGCTGTGCGAGGGGCGGGGGACACCCTGGACGAGTCTCCAGTCCATCACAGGGACACATAGAGACAAACAACCATTCACTCTCTCACTCACACCTAGAGACAATTTAGAGTTACCAATCAGCCTAACATGCATGTTTTTGGTCTGTGGGAGGAAACTGGAGCACCTGGAGAAAACCCACACATGCACAGAGAGAACATGCAAACTCCACCCAGAAAGGCCTCCGGGCCGGGATTTGAACCAGGGACCTGCTCGCTGAGAGGCAGCAGCTCTACCAGTTGATTCATGTAATTTAAAATATTACATATTCAAAGGTGACGATTTGATGCCCACATTAAAATTAAATGACTCTAACTTAGTTGACTTCAAATGCAACAAGATGATCAATGAATGTTTGCGACAAAGGATTTACTGATTATAACAAAGATTCCTTCAAGAAACCTCCCAGTATAAATCATAAAACCAGAATGACTTCTGCTCATTCTAAATTTGTCAAATGGCGTAAATCTCCTAAAGTGAAGAAGAATCATTTAAAAACAATAAATAAGATATATCCTGTAGCCATGTTTCTTGAAAGATTTAAATTTGAGGTTGATTTGTGTCCATTTTGTAAATCACAAGATGAATCCCTGGAGCAATTTTTATTTTTTTCACATCAATACAACGTTTTTGGTCAAACATCAGAAACTGGATTAATCTCAAACTTAACATTCCTTATTTTGAAGCTGATGCCATTTTATTTTATGTGGATAATTTAAGCTCAGCTTTCTCTGATGCCATAAATATAGTCGTACTTATAGCAAAGTACCACATTCAGTGTAAGAGGAGGGATAATAAGCCTTCCTTCCTGTTTGATGAATGATTTTAATTCGTACTATTCTTCATTAAATATATAAAAAAACTGCAAAACTGCTAGAATCATCTCACAACAGATAAAACTTATTGTTTTAATTAAAACAACAAGCTTCTCATATAGTCGCACTCCTTTGTTTTTTATTTATTTAATTTTTTAAGTTTATTTTTCTCTCATTATTTTGTGAAATGTAGTTATGACAGCCTTCACGAGTATTTGTATATTGTTGCATTGTTCGGTTTTGTGTTGTTCATAAAGTTCTAGGGAAAAAAAACCTGATGGGCTTGTCAGCAGGTAAGGGGCGTTTACCTTTGGGAGAAATTGAGGTCGTCGATTGGTTAGTTGCTGACACGCCTACTGGAGTGATTGACAGGTAGCGCCGTAGAGGATCGAAAAAAGAAAAAAAAAAAAAACACGAGAGCTGCAGCAGCTGCGCTGGGAGGAGGCGGGCGGCCCAAATGCAGCGCAGCAGTCTCTCTGTGCAGCGCAGGGCTCCAAGTAAAACAGGAGATAACCAGATATTTTCCTTGTGCCCTCACTTCCCTGGGCCCCTTAGAGATCGTGGGTCCCTGGGCACTTGCCCAGTTGCCCATATGGTTAATCCGGCCTTGGATGGGGAGACAGAGCTGTCTGAGGCAACGGCCTCGTGGGAGGCGCTGCCCTTTTTGTTTAGCTAAGAAAAGAGAAACACGAGGGAAGTGGAGGTGTAAAAAAATCTTATCTCACACTGTGTCCTAGATGGGACACCGTGTGAAAGTTGCAAAAAAAGCCTCAGCACAGAAATAGCAACATTTTGATGACATTGTAATACATATGTGTGTGAGAGGCCGACGAAGGCGGTGAGATTTTCCGTGGACACTGCCAGATAGACCCCATAGTACTGATAAGAGATGGTGCAGTCTATCAGCTGACTCAGCTCTGACACAGGTCCACAGTAGGAATGCGCGATATAAACAGTATACGGTAGAAACGATAGAAATTTAGCCTACGATAGAGATCTGTCTTCTACCGGCTAACTGCAGTAATGCTGTGTCTGATGTAAAATCAGAGTTGTCAGATTTAATCGTTAATTTTTTTAGTTGAAAACTGTGCGCAAGTGGCGTTAAAGTCTTTTCTTCGAGAGCTAAGTAGCGAAGCTACAGCTACAAGCTAACTACGGCCGGCTTGCCATAGTGTTACCGTATTCTGACGCATGCGCAAAACGCTGTGTTCCGTCAAAAGGTTTGTTTTTTTTTCTGTCGTAAGTTAAAGTAAATGTTGGTCATCTTTAGAGAAACCTGCTCTCTGATCTGTGAAAAGAACGCTGTGTTGTGTGATTTTACTGCGAGACCCTCTGGTCAAAGCCAGATTCATTTTGTGTCAGCTCTCCTTTAAAGCAGAAGGAGGCGCCCACTAGAGGGTTGGAGGGTGAAGTGTTTCAGTGTAAAATGCTGCTCTGTTGCTGTTCATTTCTTAAGTAAGACTGGAAACTGTTAACAACATATTCTTTTGTTTAAAACATATGGCTAAAACTACATTTTATATCTTTTGCACTGTTTTGCACTACAAGAAAGAAGACTAATACTTGATTTGTTTATTATTTAAAAACTCTCTGGGCCTAGTAGTGGAATTTTCTTAATTCAAAATATATCATGGCAAAAGGACATCCTATGCCTTTTGAAAAATTCCTATCAAGTTTTATACCCAAAACATATCGTGATATATATCGTTATCGCCACCCTTCACAATACATATCGTGATATGAATGTTATGCCATATCGCACATTCCTAGTCCACAGATGTCCTCGGGAAGGGAGTGGGTAGAGGAGGGGGGAGCAGAGCTTCTTGTTCACATAACATCCAGGAGAGTTTGGGATGGTTGGCCAATTCAAGGCCGACACTGGGGAGCCAGATTCAGATAACAGTTATTTGGGTCAGGCCGACTCTGCTTGAGTTCCGTCTGCCTTATAGTTCTACTGGTACGTCTCAATGGCAACTTCAAACAGCCAAATTTTTGTGGTCAACACCACCAGGCCGACTTGTAGCTTCCCCAAGGTCGATTCTTTCTTGCCAGAGAGTTTCAGGAGCCGCAAGTGGCCTGTGATTCTCAGAAATTGCGTCCAGCTTACAGCTCAGCTCACACAGCATTTGAGTCCGAGTGCTCACCACACGGCACATTCCAACACACAGGCCGGGCACCTTCAGAATGGTCAGAACAGCTGCCGACGTTTTTCACATTTGCCAATATGCCAGGTACCCACCAACTCCAAAAAAATAGAAATCGTGTTATCATGAATCCAATTATGTACGTGTCTTCAACATCCTCAGCGAACAATATAGAGAGACACACCATCTTCCACTGCCCCCAGGAATCCATGGTGTATCCAGCTACAAGTGTCCCATCAGGGCATGAGGGCTCTCCTTCGCCCTGTCTTCTCGTCGAGAAAATTTTATCAATTGCGTTGAGAGACCAGCTGACCAGATCCATAACATACAATTTGGACGATATGTAAAGAGAGGAGCCGATAAGGATCACAGGACAAAGAGCAGAAGCAGGAGGGAAGCAGGAGCGGGAGGGAGAAGCGTCCGCCTTTGTTGAGAGCAAGCAGGAAAGCTAACTGCTAACTACAACATTTTTTGTGCTTCTTCTAACTTCTTTCTGCAAATTTCAGCTTGTTATGCTCCTTTCAGCTTATCTGTACAAATTTCAACTTTTTCTACTATTTCAGCTACTATTTAGCTGTTTTTATGCAAATTTTAGCTTTTTCAGCTTATTCCACATTTTTTGGCAATCAACTTTTTTCAGCCTAATTCAGCAAAAATGTGCTCTCTCCACTTCCTTCTGGTAACTTAAGCTTGTTTCAGTATTTTAGCTACTTTTCAGCTGTATTTTTGCTAATTTCAGCTGTTTACAGATTATTTCCACATTTTGTGCTCATTTTTGCTTTTTTCAGGCTAATTGGGCAAACATGTTCTTTCTGCTTTCTTCTGCTAATTTAAGCTTTATCTACCTTTTTATTAGCATTTTTAGCTAATTTCAGATGTTTTCAGATACTGTATTTTTCGCTGTATAAATCGCACCTTTGTTCATAAATTTGCAAGTCCTGTGACTTATACACCAAAGTGACTAATATGTGTTTTTTACATATATATAACCCAATTTTTGTTTGAGATCTTACGATTTCATTCATTCTGACATGAAAAATATTAAACACCACCATTTTCAGCCGCTAGAGAGCCCTTGACCAAAATGGCAAGCTAAGTGTCTCACTAATAGGGAAAAGTGGCTATTAATGAGGCACTTGTCTTGCCATACAGGGCCAGCTTCGTCTCGCCCCAGAACTCCTGAAGTAAACGTCAAATCAGCTGCATTTCGCCGCGCTGCCCAGGTGAAATGCAGCTGATTTGACCGTCAAAGTGCATTCATTAAAGAAAAGTTAAACTAAGACGCACCTTTGCTATAAAGTCGAGCAAACAAATAATTGTTTTTAAGTGTTAATCTTGTTCAATTCTTGTTTAAGTCCTCCCGTGCACGCTCCCGTGGCCGCCATTTGGTAGCCAATCGATTTTTGGCACAACGCCGGCCCATGTTTCTGGGTAGTCAGCGGTGACACATAATAGATGCGACTTATTTATGGGTTTTTTTCCCACTTTATTAAACATATTTGGACTGATGCGACTTGTACAGTGGCAAATACAGTATATCATGTATTTTTTAGGTAATTTCTGCTACTTTCAGCCTAATTAACTTATTTCTGCTAATTTCAGATTGTTATGCTCCTTTCAGCTTTTATTGTGCTAGTTTAAGCTACTATTTAGCTGGTTTTATTTAGCTGGTTTTATTTAGCTGGTTTTATGCAAAGTTTTAGCTTTTTCAGCTAATTCCACATTTCTGGAGCTCATTTCAGCTCTTTCCACTTCCTTCTGGTAGGTTAAGCTTCTTTCTGCCTTTTCAGCTATTTTTCAGCTGTTTTTTTTGCTAATTTCAACTTTTTGCAGCCGATTTCCTAATTTTTGTGCTCATTTCTGCTTATTTAAACCTAATTCAGCAAATGTTTGTTCTTTCTGCTTTCTTCTAATTTAGGCTAGTTCTTCCATTTCAGCTATATTTCAGCATGATTTTTAAGCCAATTTCATCTGTTTTTCAGCAAGTTCTTCTGCAATAAGTATCCACACTGCATTTTCACAGGAAATGCAGTTTCTCCAGGTTTTAAAGTTAGTTTGTGAAATGATTTAAAACGATCGTGTGCCAAACTTCTAACCTCTGACAGACCTCCTGGGCACTCTTCATGGTGTTTCCTGCATTGCTGATGTCATCGTGCTGAAAAGTCATCATGGCCTGCATTTCCAGCATGGTGGCGTAGATCAGAGCGTGGTACATACTCTCGTTGACTCTAAATGAGAAACATAAGATCGTGAGAACATCACCGCCCACTTCATACTGAGTGCAAACACAGTTAGCTGCAGTATGACCTGCACATTTTCCTGCAGAGACGAGATAAGAGTGAATATCTTTCCTATCTCCTCTTTCATCTCGGTGTGTCTTGTGCAAAGTGTTTGCTTTGCAGGGCTAACACTCTGCAGCCTGTTGAATCAGTCAGACCTTGGGCGTCAGCTTCAGCAAACACTCGATATCCTGGAGACCTGCAGTCAGTCGGCAGGGGCTCTGCTGCTCAACATCGCAGCAGTCAGTGCTGACATCGTGCTGAGGCTGTGTGTGAAAACAGCCGCTCTGCCTCAGGACGAGTTACCTCGGCCGCAGCTTCTCCAGACTCTCGCTGAAGCGGTTGTTGAGGAAGAGGTCCAAGGCCTCCATGCACTCGTCCAGGCTCTCCTTCAGGGTCATCTCAGGGGAGCTGTCAAGAAGAAGAGAGTTTGAGAAGAAACATGCAGGACCTCATGTATTCACTGAAGCAACTTTAATTACATGCATGTGACCAGTTAGTGCACACTTTTCTTTTATCTGCTCGTGGTTTTGTTTCCCACAGACTTGGCTGGTTAATAACTTCATGAGCTGAAAGCAGAAACACTGCTTGTGGTGCAGCAGCTGCAGCTACTTGTCGCATTAAAGTACAAATAAGAAAACAACCGAAGCAACTTGTTTAGAACGCCTCCTTTTACTCACTCCTCTGCGACTACATGAAATGTTCCCATTCCTGCTCACGGTTATTTTATACCGACTAACTTTAAGTGAAGGAACCAGCGAACTTCGGAGGGAACAGGTCAAACGTCGGCGTCTGTAAAAGTTTCGTCTGTACTCACGTTCCCGCAGCATTTGGGTCTTTCCCATTGGACATGTTCCCGCTCCGGGCCCCGAACACCTGCTGGAAACTCAGAACCGGAACCAGCAGCTTCCGTCCAGAAGCAACATCCAGGAATTACAAACAGAAGTTAGCAGCTCAGCCCAGGAGCGCTGAAGTGAGGAACTCCGAGTTAAAGGACCGCCGTCATCCGTGCAGAGCCAACGGTCTGAGCATGCGCAGTGAACTCTGCGCAGACTCCCTGCCACGCGCACTCACACAACCACATCACAACATCCAGAGTCACATTGGGGGAGTTGGTTCAAAGAAATGTGACTTATTTTATATATATTTAATTATAAAACATGATTTAAAAAATTTGTATTTTCTACAGCAGCCCCCTCTCCTTCAAATTTAAAACGGATATGTTAATTTTAGTCATTGACCCTATGGTATTATGGAAAATGACAGATTTGCGTCATTTTGGTTACTTTTACCCCAAATAAAGATACCACGAAGTAAAAAAGTTTCGGTCTCTCAAAGTAAAAGTACACATTTGTAACGGTGTACTGTAGATACATAACCTCCAGCGGTCCCATGCAGTTCTACTGTATAACCACATGAGGGGGCTGTTGTCACATTTTAAATCAATACACAAGGAAGAAGACAAGTTCGAAGACAGAATTTTTTTGGTCACACAGGAAATTGTTGTGCCAGAGTTTTAATTTAAAGGAACATACACAAAAGAATCACATAAGATATATATAAAAAATTAAGTAACAATATACACCAACAATTAAGGTATAAAACAGGTCAGTTGCAGACAGAAATGTTAAAGTGTTTATTGTAGTGCAGGATTAATTTTTATTCCTCCACTACAATAGCTACTTATTTAACATTTTTGAGCCAAACTTAATTTAGCATTCAGGATTCAAGATTTTCCACATTACTTTTCATAACTTAAGTTGCTTTAATCTTTAAGAAACACTTGGACACTGCAAATATTTTTATTACTTGTGGCACATAAAGCTCCAGAAACATTTCTGCTTACTTTTAATGTGTCCAGATGAAATGATTTAACTTTTTTTGTGGTTGCAGAATACAGTTTGTCTAAAATATGTCCCCTGTGTATTTATAGAGGACAGAGAGCTATGAAAACAATCACTCACTTCTGATTAAAAATAGAGAAACAATTTCTTGGTTCCATGTAAGAGAAGGAGATGGATCAAGATTTGTCCACTTTATTTTACTGTATTTGAAGTCAACCTTACAGTCTCCAATCTCCCTCAGGCTTCCTCTTCTACACAGAATGGAGTTGACCTATACTCCTTCCTCCACTCGTATAGGCCACTCTATGTTCCTCCCTCTTTTGGAAACAAGTGTTGACCACAGCCATTTCCATTCTCTTAGCAAAATCCATAAGCTAAAGACCATTTATGACTGAAATCCAAATTTCCTAAAAACCTTTAAATTTATATGGCCATTTGATATGCCTGGACCTACACACACACCAAAAGGGAAGAAGAAGTTGCTTATTTTTCCAAGTTATACAACTCATAATGTTTACATACAGTATATGGTGGTGGCCATCTTGGAATCTGATGTGGCAACCCAGTTTTCGATAGGAATCTTTCTTAAGCCTAGATGCTGCCACTTATTTTTCAAGTTATTGCGCTCACAACACTCATGGACGTATGAAGGGCATTTAATTAATTTAATTTAAAAGCCAATTAATAAAAGTTATTAATCTAAAGAAGCCAGCAGATTATGTTGAAGCTTGACTTCATCGCAGTCTCCCACATAGACAACCACTAGACTGGACTTTTGACAGCTGCCAAACCACAAATTCATGTCTTGTTGAACCACAGTTAATCTTTTCTTCAGACTCCTCTCCTTCTCTTCACGTCTCTCTAGGAAGCACACCACACGGGTGAACCAGACTTGAAGTCTTATGTTCAGATTTCATTGTGCCCCAGCTTCAGCCCAAATCAAACCCTTACATTAACATGTTACATGCATGAACACCATTATTTTCCTGAAACATGGTTTTCTCAGAAACATACATCATATTATATTAAAAAATGGCACAGTAGTTCTCAAACTGTTGGGCACATCACAGAAACTGAGTTTGGACAATAGACAGTTGTGTTATCGCCAAAATTAAGAATGTTAGTCCACATGTGTCAAACTCAAGGCCTGGGGGCCAAATATGACCCCCAAGTAGAGCTGTCATTTTTAACCCAGGCCCGAAACCCGAGCCATAATAATGTGCTGGTTGGACGGGCCGGATCGTTGTCTGGTTTTTGACTGTGTCAGCGAGCACGCATGGCTGACGATCCAATTATATGGCACATGGCTTGTACATTCCAATTATATAGCACATGGCTTGCCATACAATCCAATTATATGGCACATGGCTTGTACATTCCAATTATATAGCACATGGCTTGCCATACAATCCAATTATATGGCACATGGCTTGCCATACCTTCACCAGCTGCACGCAGCCATTTGACCGTGCGCTGACCGGCCTTGAAAGAGGTCAAATAAAGTTCAGTTAAGCTTCAGATGGGACTACTGCCAGCAATCCATCGCCCAAATGGACGTTCATTCAGTCGCTGCACTCAGCAGACGCACCCGGCCAATGACCCAAGGTGAGATCCCAAAGCAGACATGTCAGAGCAGGGTCCGTGTCTGAATAATGCAGAATGCAGGCAGAAGCAGGGATTTATTGCGCTTTGACGGACATTAAAGGACAAACACCTCCTCAGCTCCAATTTTCTGCCCCCACAGCCGTGCGCGTCTGCTGACCGTTAAGAACTATAAGAAGTCAAAGCTTAATTAAAAATGTCAAGGTGTGTGTGTGGGGGGGGTGGGGGGTGGGGGGGTGTTGGGTTTGGACCTGTAATTACTGTTAATGTTGCATTCAAAGTATCACAAAGGTACAAGATCTCATTTTCTGTCTTCCAAAACAATAACAGCTGAATCAAGATGTTTGAATAAAATTATTTTAAAACCATAATCTTCACAAAGTTGGTATTTACTGCAGCACTGTTAATTTACAGGTTTTTTTATATTATTAATTTAGTGAATGGTAATCATGGGTCAAATTGAGATGAGATTCTTTCAAGACAGAACAAGAAATAAGAATTATTACCAAGACCGATAGATCGATCGATCGATCTATCTGTCTATCTGTCTATCTGTCTGTCTGTCTGTCTGTCTGTCTGTCTGTCTGTCTGTCTGTATCTATCTATCTATCTATCTATCTGGAAAGAGGATTATAATAATTTCAGTTCAGCAGCACGGTGTCTCAGTTGGTAGAGCTGTTGCCTCTCAGCGAGCAGGTCCTTCGTTCAAACCCCGGTCCAGGGGCCTTTCTGGGTGGAGTTTGCATGTTCTCTCCGTGCATGCGTGGGTTTTCTCTGGGTACTCCGGTTTTCTCCCACAGACCAAAAACATGCATGTTAGACTGATTGGTAACTCTAAATTGTCTCTAGGTGTGAGTGAGAGAGTGAATGGTTGTTTGTCTCGTTTGTCTCTATGTGGCCCTGTGATGGACTTGCGACCCGTCCAGGGTGTACCCCGCCCCTCGCACAGTGATTGCTGGACATGGGCACCAGTAACCCCCCTGACCAAAATGGAACAAACAGGTAAAGATAATGGATGGATGGAATTTCAGTTCATGTAGTAAATGCTTAAGTATCTTGCATACATGTAATATACTGGGGGGAGGGGGGCATTTGAGAACACAACATAATCTAACACAACACTACATAGCATCACTTAACCTAACATCATGCTTCTGTGCAACTGACAGCTGCTTGTAAATAAAATGGTGTACTTTATACAGTATATAAAGTCATGTTTATTGGCGTCTCTCAGTACCGACAGTCATCTCCACTTCCTCTGACTCCTGTCACTCAATGCTGGATGAAGCTGTCCATCCTCTCCATCACTCAGAACCTTCTGTTCGGCCCCACGTTCAGAGGCCATGACGACTGCAATAAGAAGAAACAGTGAAGATAAATTCAAGTTTCCAGACCCTCTTTTCTCATCACTCATTAAGCAGCACATGTTGGAGCGACCACACAGGTTGACGTTCCACTGAGAATAAAATGTGGATCAATGAGATTTGCAAATCATTGCATTTTGTTTTACGTTACATTTTACACAACGTCACGTTTTTTTTCTCCCCATAAAGTTGTTGATCAGTTGTAGCATTGTGTCTGTTTAGTGTTGAACATTTACGTAAGGTTTCAACAAGCTGTATTTGAGCTAAATGTCTTTATGTTCAGTTCTTCAACAGAAGAAACGAGATGCTTGGCCACTATTCCGTTGGATCTGTGCAGCAACATCCGATAAAAATACCGAGACTTGAACATCAGATTACTGCGTAAACATGTGGATAAATAAGAACCAGAATATTTATACATGCTGTAAAGTTTTCACATGTAATCTCGTTTTAGTTGATGTCAACTCTGTTTACAGTAAGATTCTGTTGAACGCAGCATGAACTGACTCGAACACTTTACTGACCTCAGAACTTCCAGCCTGTGGTCCGGATTGTTCACCAGATCAAGCAGCTGCTCCACGCCGGACATCT